ACAGTTCACTAATGTTCACTGTTTATGTTCATGTTCTCCTCACAGGAGGTTCTGACCCTGATGTGAGGAGGACAAAAGAAAAGTGAGGTGGGGGCCACAGGACAGTCAGACTTTGTTGTTAAAAGTTTGCTGCTTTTTCTACAGTGGAGCTGCATGTTGGAGGTAAATTAAACTTTAAAGGATTTTGTTGACCAGTTGAACTTTTATCTCTCAGCCTAGATAATGTTTTTTGAGTAATAATAACACAACCATGTTATTGTTGATGTTTTGTTCTAATGTCAATTAGGGAGATGATCAGAGTCCTAAACCCCAGAGAACCACAGAGAAGATTCAGGCAGAGACACAGAGGTGCAGAAGTCTGCATCAACTCTAACCTCAGTGAATCCAGTGACCTGCTGGTGGAATGTGAGGGACAATATGTCAAACTGACAACGAGGTATCTGTGTGTGCAACAAGCATCATCTACAGCCTCAGAAGGAACATGTTCTACTGCTGGAGACACCATCAGCCAGGAGTGGGCTTGTTTGTGTCCAGAGAAAACAGACATGTTGATTTTTCTGAGGAAAAACTGTTCAGTGAAAAGGTCCTCAGTGTGTAGCAGTGAACATTAGACACTGACGTGTCACTAGTTTGTAACTGGTCTTTTTACCTGGAAATTATTTGTTTGTTTTTATGTAAGAAAACTGCTTGGAATAGAAAAATACCAAAGTTAAAAAATAAAACTCAATTTGTACTGTAATGTGTAATGTAATTTTATTCTTGTTAAAGTTAATAGTAATTACAAAATTGGTACCGAAAAAAGAACCGTCCAGGAACCGACACCTAAGTGAAGGTACCGACACTGGTACCGATACCGATTTTTCAGAAAGGTACCCAGCCCTACTCATACATGTCCTGTACCAGTCTAACATACTTCTCTGCCATTCCAGATTTTCTCATACAATACCACAACTCCTCCCTCAGCACCCTGTCATATGCTTTTTCTAAATTAACAAAGACACAATGGAGTTCTTTTGGACCCTCTCTGTACTTCTCCATCAGCATCCTCAAGGCAACTATTAGTTCAGTTCAGTTCAGTTTATTTATATAGCGCCAAATCACAACAAAGTTGTCTCAGGGCACTTTACAGGAACATTCACATAAAAGCCAATTAGTAAAGTTCTCTATCTAAGGAATCCAGCAGACAAGATGAATCTTGGCTTAGTTGCAGTCTCCCATCCTGAGCAAGCAAAGTGGCAACAGTGGAAAGAAAAAACTCCCTTTTAAAAGGAAGAAACCTCCAGCAGAACCAGGCTCATTAAAAGGCTTATTAAAAGAGACTGAATCTCTAAAGATGGGTACAGGTTCCACAGGCCGTATAAAACTATTGGCGACATTTCAGAATAAAGTCCCTGAATAAATTTCAGCATAAAGTTCCTGAATTTAATTTAATTAAATTTTTGACTTTAATCTCCACCATCTTCAGTTCATAATCTGATCAACAGATTAAAAGAATCTGCATAAATCTCTGAGCTCAAAGGAGGAGGCTGAAGGTTGAATGGTTGTGATCTTCGGGCCCTCAGGGGGCACTGCATTAAAACCAGGTCACTGTTCAAAAGCCTGCCTCTCTGATGGTATGGGTGCAGTGGTGGCCAATTTCCGTTACTCTGCTAACAGCTAACAACGGAACGTTTTTTTAATTTTTTTTGCAGGTTAGCATATACAGAGAGAGAGAGAGAGAGAGAGAGTCAGAGAGTTTCTTTATTGTCATTCGCACCTCATGTGGTACATGTGGTGGAGCGAAATTATGTACGCAGGGTCCCAGTTACATCCAACAATAAAATGTATAAGAAAAACAGTAATAACATCTAAGATATGAACTAAGCAAAACATCAACTAAATATACACTAAGCACTCATAACATAAAACATTGAACATCAGCACAAACATGAACATGAGTCTGTGAGCAGATGTGCACGCATGGACACATCAACATTGAAACAGATCAGCAGCAACATGAAACAGATCAGCAGCAACATGATATGGTTTTTCACAGTGATTATTCTAGTTAGAGATTCATGAGTCTAACAGCCTCAGGGTAGAAGCTGTTCCTCAGTCTAGTGGTTCTACACTTAATGCTCCTTAACCTCCTTCCTGAGGGGAGTGGGGCAAAAAGTGTGTGTGCTGGGTGGGTGGGGTCCTTCATGATGCAGGTGGCCCTCTTCCTGCATCTGGAGGTGTAGATGTCTGTGATGGTGGGGAGACTGATTCCAACAGATTTCTGTGCAGCCTTCACCACTCTCTGCAAAGCTTTTCTTTCTGCAGCTGTGCAGCCTCCATGCCACACATTGATGCTCGAGCACAGGATGCTCTCCACTGCACACCTGTAGAAGGAGGTGAGGACTGAGCTTCCCAGACCAGCTCGCCTCAGCCGTCTGAGGAAGTAGAGTCTCTGATGAGCTTTCTTGATCAGGCTGGTGGTGTTGTTGCTCCAGCTGAGGTTGTCATTCATGTGTACACCCAAGTACTTGTAGCTGGAGACCACTTCCACCGCAGATCCTCTTATGTTCAGGGGGGTGTAGGTGTTTTTGTTCCTTCTGAAGTCCACAATCATCTCCTTTGTCTTCTTCACATTGATGTGAAGGTTATTCTCTCTGCACCAGCTCTCCAGGTGTTCCACCTCTTGCCTGTAGCTGGACTCATCATTGTTTGTGATGCATCCCACCACCGCTGTATCATCTGCAAACTTTACAATGTGACAGCCTGGATGGGTAGCTGCACAATCATATGTGACCAGAGTAAACAGAAGGGGGCTCAACACACATCCCTGAGGAGAGCCAGTGCTGAGGGTTATGGTGGAGGAGGGGAGGTTGTGGATCCTCACTAACTGTGGTCTGTTTGTTAAAAAGTCTAGTACCCAGTTGCAGATGGAGGGGCTTAGTCCTAGTGTGGATAGTTTGTCCATCAGGGTTTGGGGGATCATGGTGTTGAAGGCAGATGTGAAGTCCACAAAGAGCATACGGACGTAAGAGTTTTTCTGCTCCAGGTGGTTGAGTGCAGTGTGGACCACAGAGGAGATTGCATCCTCTGTTGATCGGTTCTCACGGTATGCATACTGATGAGGGTCCTCGTTGATGTTTATGGTTGTTTTGATGTGAGTCATGACCAGTTTTTCGAAGCATTTAGCGACTATCGGGGTGAGGGCCACTGGCCGATAGTCATTCAGACCAGTCACTGTAGAGCTTTTTGGGACTGGGATGATGGTGGCAGTCTTCAGGCAGGTGGGAACTGTCTCCAGTGTAAGTGAGGTGTTAAAGATGTCTGCCAGCACCTCACAGAGCTGATCAGCACATTCCTTCAACACTTTTCCGGGGATGTTGTCTGGGCCAGTTGCTTTGTGCGGATTAATCCTCCTGAAGGTACTCCTTACTTCTGCTGAGGTCACGCTGAGATGCTCTTCATCCGGTGGCGAGTACACTCCGGTACACTAACTTTGTAAACTGTTAGCAGAATTAGGTTCTGCTAAATTTGGTTTTGCTAACTAAGTCTGCTAAAAAAATCACAAGGTTGTTCCTGTCTGTTGTGGTCGTGTCTTGAAGAGTCTATTTGGCATCCTATTGGCTGACTATGTGTACACGTGACAAGACGTGATTGGTTGACACAGATTCAACTGGAAGGAGATGAAGATGTGTGACGCAAACAGAGTGACAGTTGTCTTAGCGGTTAGCAGTTCAGCGTGGAGATGTGCATCAATTAAAATTCCCAGGTATTTGTAAGAATCCACAAACTCAATAGGAACATCATGCATGGATGAGATAGGAGGAAGAGCTGCTGGCACCAACTTTCTGTTTGAAAACAACATCCCCTTGGTTTTATCAGCATTTAGCACCAATTTGAGATGTAACAAAACTGACTGGATGATGTCAAATGCAGACTGTGGTAGCTGGAAAACTTTAGCAACTGTGTTAGCTCAACAATAAACTACTGTAGCATCAGCAAAGAGATGCAAGGAGGCACCAGGAATGTTTTGATCTACATTTTTCATATAAATGGTCAAAAGAGTGTGTCCTAAAACTGAGCCTTGTGGCACACCATGGCCATTAAATAGCTCTCCTCTTGTTTGTGTGGGGTTTTTCTGGGTACTCGTTTCCTCCCACAGTCCCAAAACATGCATGTTAGGCTGCCTTCAGGTCCAGGGCTCCCTTGCAAAAGAGATATGTGACCTCAATGGTATTTCCCTGATTTAAAAACGTTAATAAATATTAATAAATATAGGTTAGCTAAGCTAACTTTTTGGTTAACTGTGCTTACCACTATATAGGGAATCATTAGTGCCTCTGGCATGGGCAACTTACACACCTGGGAAGACTCCATCAATGCCAAAACACATCTACAGGTTTTAGAACAACATCTGCTCCCATCCAGGACTGTGAAACAGCTAGAATCCTCCACCAGACCAGAATCTGACACACCACCTCCAAAACCTCTAACAACTGGTCTCCTCAGGTCCTCCAGAACCTCCAACAACTGGTTCCTCAGATTCTTCAGAACCTCAAACAACTGGTCTCCTCATTTTCTCCAGAACCTCCAACAACTGGTCTTCTCAGTTCCTCCAGAACCTCCAACAACTGGTCTCCTCAGGTCCTCCAGAACCTCCAACAACTGGTCTCCTCAGGTCCTCCAGAACCTCCAACATCTGGTCTCCTCAGGTCCTGGATGTTTACAGTCTGTTGTTAAAGAAGAGGAGATGTTTAAGAGGAAACATGGACCTGGAACAAATTTAAAGAGATGTGTTGCTGCAGATTCAAATTTTCTTCTTCTTTTTTTTTCCCCCTAAAACTGGTCCAGTTTCTCAATTTACATTTCCCACAATGTTCCAGCTGTTTGGGGTTTGTGTTTGGACCTTTCAAAGTTAAATTGTTTGTTGAATCGTATCAGATGTATCAGTTGATCATGACCTGAAATGATGATGATTCTTTCCAGAGGAAGTGGAAACAGCTCCTGATGGCTCTTTCCAGCAGCTTCAAGCTGCTGCTGCTCCTCTGCTGCATCTCAGCCAGCCTGGCCTGTTTCTGTGATCGGTACCCCTGGAGCTCCTGGTCCGCCTGCACCAGAACCTGCAACTACGGGACTCAGAGCAGAAGCAGGTGAGACAATTTGCTGCTGAACTCCAAATTAAATATTTCACCTGCTGATGCCAGAAAGTTCTTGTCTCCATCAGAGATGTGTCCTTTTTTCTGACAGGAGTGTTCGATACGAGGAGTATTACTGGCAGAACAGCTGTCTCCAGCTGTGCGACCATCATGACACCAGAGCTTGTAATGAGCAGGCGTGTCCCATTAACTGCCTGCTGTCAGAGTTCAGCTCGTGGTCCGACTGTTCGCCCTGCGCCAAGAAGCAGGTGAGGAGCTCACTCTCTGCACAATACACACATTCACATGATGGGGATCTTTGGAAACATCCCATTTAGTTTCCAAACCTTTGGACAGCTGGGACAAAACTATCAAGTCAAAAGTACTAGTTGGTCACATAAAATTCAGAGGAGGTTGCAAACATCATTTGAAGACCACGAGGAGGGAAATGTGTCAGGAGACAGAGGGAGAAGAGGAAAGTGAAGAATGTAGGACTATGGGTTGCAACTCTAAATGTGGGGACAATGACAGGCAAAGGTAGAGAGCTGGCTGACATGATGCAGAGAAGGAAGGTAGATGTTTTATGTGTCCAAGAGACCAAGTGGAAGGGCAGCAAGGCTCACAGCATTGGAGCAGGGGTTCAAACTGTTTTACCATGGTGTGGATAGAAAGAGAAATGGAGTAGGGGTGGTCCTGAAGAAGGAGTTGGCAAAGAATGTAGTAGAGGTGAAAAGAGTGTCAGATAGGGTGATGTTTCTGAAGGTAGAAGTAGAAGGTCTGATGCTAAACATCGTCAGTGGTTATGCACCACAGGTTGGATGTGATGAGGAGGAGAAAGATACATTTTGGAAAGATCTGGATGAAGTGATAGAGTGTATTCCCAGGGAGGAGAGTGTGGTGATCTGAGCAGACCTGAATGGGCATGTTGGTGAAGGAAACAGAGGGGATGAGGAAGTGATGGGTAGGTTTGGTGACAAGGAAAGAAACCAGGAAGGCCAGATGGTGGTGGATTTTGCCAAGAGAATGGAAATGGCTATAGTCAATACCTATTTCCAAAAGAGGGAGGAATATAAAGTGACCTATAAGAGTGAAATAAGGAGTACGCAGGTCGACTACATTCTGTGTAGAAGATGAAATCTGAGGGAGGTTGGAGACTGTAAGGTTGTGGCATGGGAGAGAATGGCCAGACAGCATCTAATGGTTGTGTGTAGAATGACTGTTGTTGTGAAGAAGAGAAAGAGTAAAATCAGAGAAGAAGACCAAATAGTGGAAGCTGAAGAAGGAAGAATGTTGTGAGAAAGTCAGAGAAGAGCTGTTAAAGGCTCTGGGTAGTAAGAAAGAGCTTCCAAATGACTAGGTTACTACAGCAACAGTAATTAGAGGGACAGGTAGGAAGGTACTTGGTGTGTCATCTGGACAGAGATTGGATGATAAGGAAACCTGGTGGTGGAATAGTGAAGTGAAGGATGCCATTCAAAGAAAGAGACTAGCCAAGAAGAAATATGACGGTGAGAGGACTGAAGAGAGGAGACAGGAATATAAGGAGATGGGACGTAGAGCAAAGAGGGAAGTAGCTAAGGCAAAGCAGAGGGTGTACGATGAGTTGTATGGGAGACTGGACACTAAACAGGGCGAAAAGGACTTGTACCGATTGGCAAGACAGAGGGATCAGGCTGGAAAGGATGTGCAGCATGTTAGGCTTGTTAAAGATAGGAATGGTAATGTTCTAACAAGTGAGGAGAGTGTGATGAAAAGATGGAAGGAGAACTTTGAGGAGTTAACAAATGAAGAGAATGAAAGAGAAAGAAGAGTAGAGGCCATAGAAACTGTAGACCAGGAAGTGGGAAAGATTAGTGAGGGTGAAGTCCGGAAAGCTCTGAAAAGAATGAAGAAGGGGAAGGTAGTAGGACCTGATGACATACCAGCGGAGGTTTGGAAATATCTTGGAGAGATGGCATTGAGGTTTTTGACTCAAATACTCAATGGCATGTTTAAGGGTAAGAAACTGAGGAACGGATGAGAAATGGATCTTGTTGAGGAAAATGATCATATCTACTTCTTGGGCAGTATGTGTGAGCATTCTGGACAAGTCTCCTGCAGTGGAGAACATGCTTGGTGGGTGTAGAGAAAGTGAGATATGTCAGCAAAGGATAAGACTTGTGGTGGTTCCACAACCAGCAGCAGGGTGCTCAGACATAATGGCTGCTGAAAGTTCCTGGTACCTCTGCAGCTGTTTCTTGATGGACATGGAGCTGTGACATTATGTTTTGTGCCTCTTCCTCAGCAAAAAGCTCCTCCAGTGGAGAATTTCTGGACAGATTGCAGGGAGGCGGTTCCTAAACAAACAACAGGTCATCAGTATTATCACTAAAAAAGGGATCATTAAAGGCATGATCATTAAGTTTGAGAACCTATATAATTTCAGCTATCATACACTTACACTCTACTTACACACCAATTAGGTGGTGCGTACTTGGTATTGATGGTTTCACCATGTTCTTTCAAACATAAACAAACTTGTACTGTCACTCTTACTGTAACGTTAGCTTAGGGTGGACTATTAATTAGCTTAGCTCTATCATTGTCTAACAAAATTAAATGTTGGTGATTCCACATCTGAAAAGTGATGCAACTTTTTCACAATATATGCTATAACAGTTCTGTGGCACTCTTCATTCAATTAGTTTCAACGTCTTTCCCTTGGAGGCTTTGGTGAATGGAGGAGCACATCGCAGATTCTGCTCAACTGTGGCTAACATTATTAGCAATTTCAGCTCATTTGTCTATTAAAATATAGATGAGCTAACGTTGGAATGGTATTTACATTTGAGTTGACCTACCGCTTTGTTGCGTATAACTTGTTAACTGCCTTAATGTTGGTAAAAGACGTAGTTTATAGTTTTACTTACCTGATTCTGACTGCAGTGGGTTGATAGGCTGAGGGTCGGAGTCGGAGGAAGAGGAAAAGGTAGCGGAGGTAAGCTGGCGCAGCGCGTCAAAGACAGGGCACTCTGTTGCTTCTACATGATGATCCCAGAAGTGTTGGTCGTGCACCCTCCTTTGCATGAAATACAATTTTTGAAAGTGCTGCACTGAACCGACTGGTCGTTTATTTTATTAAAGTTAAGCCACACTTTCGATCGCGGCCGCTCAGTGTCCATGGATGCGCACACACTTCCTGTGGATTCTTCTTTGTTGATGTTCAGTAGGCGGCTTCTTTTTCCGGTCGGCGTACTGGGCATCAAAAATAGGAATCGAAAATAAAAAAATTGAACGATTCTGGGATAATCAGAATGTTAGTCCCAGTTCCAGTCAATTCTTGAGACTCAATGCCCAACCCTACCCTCAACATCGTATCTTACACAACAATTGTTGACTGCACAAAGTCACCGTGAGGGTGTCAATGGCCTGTGGGCCACACTTTGAACAGCCCTGAGTTAACTCAAGGTCTCTGGTTTTTGCCATAGTTTCGGACCCGGTCTGTTGTGACCCCATCTCAGTTTGGTGGTTCTGCCTGCAGTGAGGAGCTAACAGATGAGAGGCCCTGCTACCCATCCAAGCAGTGCCAGTTGCCCCCCATCGACTGCAGGGATGACTTCAGGTGTGAGAACGGTGAGCAGTTCTTCTCGTACAGCACAGAACAAAACCTTTCTGTCATTCCTAGTTTGATTTTAGGAGAGTTCCCCATGTTTCAGGGCGCTGCATCAACTCAACGCTGACGTGCAACAAGCAGAACGACTGCAGCGATAACTCTGACGAGAAGGACTGCGGGGCCTTCAGGACCGTCTGTCCTGCCGACAAGAGAGTGGCCCCCGGGGCCAACCTGGTGGGAAACGGGTAAAGTTCAGGTTCCCTGGAGAAGTCCTGTGAGCACAGAAGGGCTTTGCTTTACTTAAGAAGCTAAAACCGAGATAGTAAATCTTAACGAGGAGGAACAGTAGCTAAAAGATAAAGTATCAAAAGGCAATCTAAAAAAGTTAAATCTGGTCCTTTGGACATTCAAAAAACAAAACAAAGCAAAACAACAACAAAAAATGTAGAAACATTTTGTCTTTCATTCGAAAAACTTCCTCAGTCTGAGGTGCTGTATTCAGCTCAGTCTCTTAAATAGCACCTTCTCAGAGTGGATCAACCAGTTTGTTGCTGACAACTAAAATCATCTGCTCACATGATCAAGAAGGACCATCAGCCTAACAATGGATCATTAGCACACTGATGGCTGTTTACTATTCACAGGGGGCTGAGTGATACTAGCAATAACAGCATTGTAAGAGGGGGACAGTTGAACACGGAGGCCTCCACCCCTGTTTAATGATGGATGATTTCTTTTCACAAAGATGGCCTCCTTTACTACTCTCTCAAACAATCGTTCCTTTCCATCCAGGATGTGAAAATCTTCATCCCTGAAAGAGTGACCGCTGGCCTGGAGATGAGTGTAGACCGCAGAGTCCTGACCTGATTGTGTTGTTCTTCTGTGCTGGGCCATCCTTTTGGCCAGTGGCTGTTTAGTTTCCCCGATGTAAGACTGATCACAGCCCTCCTGAAACTGAACAACATACACAATATTACTTTGTTTGTACCGGGGGACTGGATCTTTGAGATGAACCAGTCTTTGCCGTAATGTATTTTGGGGTTTAAAAGCCACTTGGACGTTGTATTTAGAAAATAAATGTCTCAGTTTCTCTGATACTCCCTCAACATATGGAATGACCACTGGTCTGGGTCTGGGTTCCTCCTTTTCACCTGATGGCTGACTGGAGTCCTGTTTGGGTTTCTTCTCTGCTTTCAGGAAGGCCCAGTTAGGATATCCACATTGCTCTAGAGCCTGTCTTGTGTGGGATTTCTCCTTCTGCCTGGCTCCCGAGCTAGTGGGGACGCTGTCTGCTCTGTGATACAGAGTCCTGATGACTCCTAACTTGTGCTCCAAAGGGTGATGGGAGTCAAACTGCAAATACTGGTCTGTGTGGGTGGGTTTGCAGTACACCTCAGTTTGCAAATGTCCTCTATCAGAGACTGAGACCTCACAGTCCAAGGAAGCCAACCTGCCATTTTTTACATATTCTTGTGTGAACTTGATGTATTTATCCACAGAGTTGATGTGGTCAGTAAAGTGTTGGACTTCCTGAGATTTAATTTTAACCCAGCTGTCGTCAACACACCTGAACCAATGACTTGGTGGTGTCCCTGAAAAGGACGTCAAGGCTCTCTTTCCTACCTCCTCCATGTACAGGTTCGCAACAATAGGAGATCCAGTCCCTCGGCACAAACAGAGTAATATTATAATATCTTTAGACTTGCTTATCCTTAACTTTGCTTTATGTATTTTATATTCTTTATGCATTTTATATTCTTTATGTAATTTATTCCTGTTGATCTTTGTTCTTACTGTAAAGTGTCCTTGGCTGTCATGGAAGGCGCTTTTCAAATAAAATGATTATTATTATTATTATTAATATTGTGTATGCTGTTCAGTGTCAGGAGGGCTGTGATCAGTCTTACATCAGGGAAACTAAACAGCCACTTGCCAAAAGGATGGTCCAGCACAGAAGAGCAACATCATCAGGCCAGGACTCTGCGGTCTACACTCATCTCCAGGCCAGCGGTCACTCGTTCAGGGATGAAGATGTTCACATCCTGGATAGAGAGGAACGATGGTCTGAGAGAGGAGTAAAGGAGGCCATCTTTGTGAAAAGAAATCGTCCATCATTCCATGTTCAACTGTCCCCCTCTTACAATGCTTTTATTGCTAGTATCACTCAGCCCCCTGTGAATAGTAAACCGCCATCAGTGTGCTAATGATCCATCGTTAGGCTGATGGTCCTTCTTGAGCATGTGAGCAGCTGGTTTTGGTTGTCAGCAACAAACTGGTTGATCCACTCTGAGAAGGTGCTATTTAAGAGACTGAGCTGAATACAGCTCCTCAGACTGAGGAAGTCTTTCGGATGAAAGACGAAACGTTTCTACATTTTTTGTTGTTGTTTTGCTTTGTTTTGTTTTTTGAATGTCCAGAGGACCAGATTTAACTTTTTAGATTTTGCTCCTGGATTATTGAGTATGCATCAGGATATCAAAAGGCATGCTAAAAGTAGCAAATGGTTAGCTGAAAGTTATTAAAGAAAGCTATATGAAAAGGCTAACAAAGTATTCATAAATTTTTTAAAAGTTGAAAGTAGCAACTTGACAGTAACACTTTAGTTATTCACCAAATGTACTGTACAGTATAACAAAAATTAGCTGAAAGGTAAAATATCAAAAGGTTAGCTTAACTTCAAAGGTAGTAAAATGGTAGCTGAAAATAATAAAAAGTAGAAAAACAGCAACTAAAAATCACAAATATCAAAACATCTGTTATAAGTTGCTAAACACTAGCTATAAGCTTCAAAAGGTTAGCCAAAAGCTAACATAGTAAAATGTTATGTTTTGATGTTTATTTGTCATATTCAGGTTACCACAAGGTCAACAATGCAATGAAATGTTCAGGATAAGGAGAACCGATTTGACTCGCTAAAAATAAGGAACAAACAAGAAATACTAAAACATGCAATAAGGGTACAAAATAAAGTACCAAAAGTGAAAAAGAAATATAATACTTACAAGGTCCAAAAGAAAAATAGTAAACAACAACATGGTAGAATGTAGCGGTGTAAGTAGGATGAATTTGTATGAAAAAGTGTTTCACAGGTAGTAATATAAGCTTAAATGTGCAATGCACTTATTGCACATAACTAACATATACTACAAAGGTTGTGTAACAGATTATTTCACCGGTAGTGAGTAACATTGGGATTAATTGAATTATGATGGTAAGGTAATGACATACATGGTATATGGCTATAAGTAGTCAGCCTTTTACTTTTAAAGTTATGTCAAAAATGAAACAAAGTTTTTGCAGGAATTAAAGGGGGAAATGGTGTAAATAAAGCTAAATATTAAAGTATAAAAGTTAAAAATGGCAACTCCCACCTCCTGAATCAGCTGAATGTTGTGATATATGAGAACAGCTAAGAATACAGAAGTATCTGTAATTAAATGGTAAAAACCGAATGGTAAAATAAAAACAGCTGACTCAGCATACAGACAGTTTTGTCCTTAAGAGTCCGTAAATGCCGTCACTTCTAACTTTACATAAATAAACACATCTGAACCCAAAGCATCATGTCTGCTAGCTGTCATAATAATCTGGATCCATGTTTATAGTTTCGATGGTCTGGCGGAGGAGCAGAGGGGAGAGGTGCTGGACAACATGTTCATGGGAGGAAGCTGCACCATCAGGAGACCAGAAAGCACGTTACTCTACCACAGGGTTCCTAACAACTTCAAGACCTTTGACATCAAGGTCTCTGGTTTGACTGATTATAGAAGCATCCAGTTAGAACTCAATTTTGTTTCTTCATTATCTGTTTTAGCTGTTTGTACCATTTTTGCTGCCATAGATATCAGTTTCTATGGTGACTTTGTGTTGAAGGTTGGCGTGTTGGAGGACTTCAGCAACGAGCCTCAGCTGCTGCACTCTGAGTCCGTCAGCGTGAAGAAGTCCGGTTCATCCAATCATTTCAGCGGCCCAAATGGAGACTTTCTGTTCCTTTTGTTTGCATTGTTCAGCTCTCGGCAATCAGGTGTCACCTCCAACTCAGCTGCTTTTGAAGCGTCAAAGAAAAAGGTGATGATTCCCAAGTTTAATGAATTATTAAAAGTGCTGTACACGGTTTAGACTGTACGTCTGAGCAGCTTCATAATTAGTGTCAATGTAAAAAATGAGGACACATAAGATCTGGTTTAATAAAGCCACATTATTCATGTGAATAAACGCAATGACTATTCAGCTATTTACTCTCACTAGGGTCCTCGAGGGGTCATGGGAGTGTGCTGAACCAGTCTATATGTGCTTTGTGGACTTGGAGAAGGGGGTCGACCGTGTTCTTCGAGGTACACTGTGGAGGATGGGATTGGGGGTCTGCTGCTACAGACCATTCAGTCCCTTTACAAGCCGTGCAAGAGTTTGGTTTTCATTGCCGGCAGTAAGTTGGACCTGTTCAGAGTGGGAGTTGGACTCAACCAGGGCTACCCATTGTCACCGGTTTTCTTCACAACTTTATAGACAGTATTTTTCAGTGCAGCCAGGGGGCAGAGGGAGTCTGGTTCGGTGGACTCAGGATTCCTTCTCTGCCATTTACGGATGATATGGTCCTGTTGGCATCATTGTGTCATGATCTTCAGCTCTCACTGGAGCAGTTTGCAGCTGAGATGAGGATCAGCACCTCCAAATCTCAGGCTTTGTTATGAGTGAGGGAAGAATGGAGAGCGAGATCAACAGACGGTACGGTGCAGCTTCTGCAGTATTGTGGACTCTGTGCCAGTCCGTTGTGGTGAAGAGTACGCTAAGCTGCAAGGAGAAGTTCTCTATTGACCTCTTTGTCTACATTCCTACCCTCACCTCTGGTCATGAACAAAAAGAACAAATGAAAAAAAAAACAGATCTTAGATCCAGGAGGTCTAAATGAGTAATCTCACCAGGGTAGCTAGTTTCTCCCTTCAAGACGGGATAAGAAGTACAGTTCTCCTGGAGAGACTCGGAGTAGAACCACTGCTCCTCCACATCAAGGGTAGCAAGTTGAGGAGGTTCAGACATTTGGTAACGATGGACCCTGGACCATGCATCTAGGGATGCATGTTGAATTGGAAGAAGACTGGAAGAAGACCCTTGGGAAGACCCAGAAATCACTAGAGAGGTTATGTCACTCTGCTGGCCTGGAAATGCCTCACAGTTCAACTGGAGAGTGTTACCAGGCAGAGGGAGGACTGGGTTTCTCTCCTGGACCATTGGCCTCCCCAACTCAACCACAGATAAGTAGTAGAAGATGGATATGTTCACTAAAATTTTCACAAAATTTGCTCAAGATCTGTAGACCAGTTATGTTGTTGCTAAGATGGTAAAAGAGACCATCTTAGCACCAACATAACTGGTTTGTTCCACTTTGGAGGAAGCTGTTGGGGGAAGAATCAGTTTTGTGTTGTGTTTCCTTGACTGATGAAGCCTTCTGGTAGGAAGGCGAAACGTTTCAGTACCAAAAAAGAAACTGTCCAGATGATCTGACTGAAAATTGTTGGATTGTATACCTGGATTATTGAGCATGGACTTTGTTGGGTTTGAACCATTTTGACATGACTGTCGACAAGGAAGTGGGCCAGCACCAGAGGAGGGGGCATGCCAAAGAGACCACCTTAGCACCAACATAACTGGTTTGTTCCACTTTGGAGTAAGCGGTTGGGGGAAGAATCAATTTTGTGTTGTGTGTTTCCTTGACTGATGAAGCCTTCTGGATGGAAGGTGAAACGTTTCAGCACGAAAAAAAAAGAAAGTGTCCAGATGACCTGACTGAAAATGGTTGGATTGTATACCTGGATTATTGAGCATGGACTTTGTTGACTTCCTGTGGTGTTCTATGGAGCATCTCGGTGGTCTCAGTCTACAACTGAAGGAGCTGCGGTTAGAGTCCAGTGTGTCATGCAGGGGGTGTGACATGTTGTTCAGGATCTGGAACAGTTTCCTCAGCATCCTCTGCTCAGACACCTCTGTCAGAGACTGCAGACTCCTAGAGACTCCCAGAACTGAGCCAGCTCTCTTGATGAGTTTATCAAGTCTGTTGACATCAGCTTTCTTCACCCTGCTGCCCCAGCACACCACAGCATAGAAGAAGACGCTGGAGACCACCGAGTGGTAAAACATCTGCAGCATGGTCCTGCAGATGTTAAAGGACCTGAGCTTCATCAAAAGAAAAAGGTGACTCTGCCCTTTCTTGTAGAAGGTGTTGGTGTTAGCTGTCTGTCCAGTTTATTGTCTAGGTGGACCCCCAGGTACTATCAGTCCACAGTGTCCACCTTAGTACCCTTGATGTTGATAGAGTTGGGGGGGGGGGGGGGATCTTGTTCTTGAAGTCCACCTGCAGCTCTTTAGTTTTTCCAGCGTTGAGTTGCAGGTAGTTCCACACCACTCCACAAAGCTGTCCACCACACCTCTGTATTCAGCTTCTTGGTCACCAGTGATGCAGCCCACAATGGCAAAATCATTCGAGAGCTTCTGCAGATGGCAGAATTGTGAGTTGTACCTGAAGTCCAAGGTGTAGAGGGTGAACAGAAACGACGAGAGGACCGTCCCCTGAAGAGCCCCTGTGCTGCTCAGTATGGTGTCCGAGGTGGTGTTCTGTAGCCTCACATCATGTGAGCAGCTGGTTTTGGTTGTCAGCACCAAACTAGTTGATCCACTCTGAGAAGGTGCCATTTGAGACTGAGCTGAATACAGCACCTCAGACTGAGGAAGTCTTTTGTATGAAGGACGAAACGTTTCTACATTTTTTTTGTTGTTTTGCTTTGTTTTGTTTTTTGAATGTGCAGAGGACCAGATTGAACTTTTTTAGATTTTTCTACCTGGATTATTGAGCAGCATCAGGATATTTTGAACCACTTTGTCCAGGATTGCCTCAAACTAGTAAGAGAGTTTGAGAAAACAGCAATGAAGAGAGCAGACTACAGGAACCACTTGCGATTCAACCTCAGACGTCGACAAAATGGCATAATTCCCAAGAGCCTGGAACTAAAATCTTCGGTCAGCGGGCACTGGGCAAGCAAGATCCTTCAGAAGGTACAGACCCAGCTGCTGAATGAACGGGTGAGACAGACCAATTTTACTATTGAGGCCTTGAAGGCCAAAGAAGAGCACATTCAACAGAAACTAACTATGTGTCTAGATCAGACCACACTTCAGCAAGTGTTGGACTGTACAGATCAGGCACACTTAGCACAGCATGTCAAGTCCAAGACTCAACAACAAAACAAGTTTAACTTACTAATAATTCATCAACACCATCACTATTCCAATAACAACACATTCAGTGTAGGACAACACTCCAGTAGTCAATTACATGTCAGGGAGACAGAAAAGTGGGTGAAGAATTTATCTGACAGACAGCTCACCCAGCCAGAGACAGAGATTCTTGCCAGGGGACTGAACTTTGCAGTTGCACCAAGTAGAATTCCTCTGGTGGAGATGATCACAGCCACAGAATCAGCCATCTGCAACAACAAAATGAAAGATGGTGAAGCAGAACAACTCAGAATCAAAGTTTCAGACTGCATCAGCAATTCCAAACCACCACCTTCCAACATCAGTAGAGGAGAGGGATGCACTCACCACTCTTAGCAAGGACAAAAACATTGTCATTCTCCCAGCAGACAAAGGAAGGTGCACAGTGATTTTGAACCAGAAAGACTATCATGAGAAAGTTATGACACTTCTTAGTGACTTAACCACTTATGAACCTCTGAAAAAAGATCCATGAAGTGGTTACAAGAAGAAGTTGATAGATTGCTTGAAAAATTTGGAGCAGGACAAGGCTATTGATCGTTTTCTGTACCACAGACTGTACCCAGGGGAGGCCACACCTAGTCTGTATGGTTTACCTAAAATCCACAAACAAGGTGTACCTTTAAGACCTATTGTTAGCATGATTAACTCTGTCACTTACAATGTTTCCAAATATCTGGCATCTGTACTCATCCCTTTAGTTGGCAGCTCAGAACACCACATACAGAACACCATGGACTTTGTGGATAAGGTGAGGGATGTCATCATGGAGACTGATGAAACAATGGTCTCTTTTGATGTCACATCACTCTTTACATGCATTCCTGTTGATGATGCAGTAGAGGTGGTCAGTTTAAGATTAAAATCAGACACCAATCTGAGCAGCAGGACCACGCTTTCCACAGAACAACTGTGTCAACTCTTGAAACTGTGCCTGCAGTCAACCTACTTCACATATGGGGGCCAATATTATAGTGTGCTATGGGGTCTCCAGTTTCTCCTGTTGTTGCCAACCTGTACATGGAGGAGGTAGAAAAGAGAGCCTTGAAGTCCTTTTCAGGGACACCGCCAAGTCATTGGTTCAGGTATGTTGATGACACCTGGGTTAAAATAAATCTCAGGAAGTCCAACATTTTACTGACCACATCAATTCTGTGGATAAATACATCAAGTTCACACAAGAAGATGTAAAAAAAAATGGCAGGTTGGCTTTCTTGGACTGTGAGGTCTCAGTCTCTGATAGAGGACATTTGCAAACTGAGGTATACCGCAAACCCATCCACACAGTTTGACTCCCATCACCCTTTGGAGCACAAGTTAGGAGTCATCAGGACTCTGTATCACAGAGCAGACAGCGTCCCCACTAAATCAGGAGCCAGGCAGAAGGAGAAATCCCACACAAGACAGGCTCTAGAGCAATGTGGATATCCTAACTGGGCCTTCCTGAAAGCAGAGAAGAAACCCAAACAGGACTCCAGTCAGCCACCAGGTGAAAAGAAGGAACCCAGACCCAGACCAGTGTTCATTCTGTATGTTGAGGGGGTATCAGAGAAACTGAGACGTTTATTTTCTAAACAGTAGCTTTTAAACCCCAAAATACATTACGGCAAAGACTGGTTCATCCCAAAAATCCAGTCGCCCGGCACAAACAGAGTAATATTGTGTATGCTGTTCAGTGTCAGGAGGGCTGTGATCAGTCTTACATCAGGGAAACTAAACAGTCACTGGCCAAAAGGATGGCCCAGCACAGAAGATCAACATCATCAGGCCAGGACTCTGCGGTCTACACTCATTTCCAGGCCAGCGGTCACTCTTTCAGGGATGAAGATGTTCACATCCTGGACAGAGAGGAACAATGGTTTGAGAGAGGAGTAAAGGAGGCCATCTTTGTGAAAAGAAATCGTCCATCATTAAACAGGGGTGGAGGCCTCCGGGTTCAACTGTTCAACTTGTTTTTTGAATGTCCAGAGGACCAGATTTAACTTTTTTAGATTTTTCTACCTGGATAATTGAGCATGCATCAGGATAGCAGGTCTTATGGTGTTAAAAAGTACTCGAAAAGTCAAAGAACATGACTCTTACACTCTTAAAGTGCTGCCTGCCCTGTCCAGGTGCGTGTAGGCTCTGTGCAGCAGGTAGATGATGTCATCGTCAACTCCAATGTGTGGCTGGTATGAAAACCAGCATAATCATGAATGTAGCACTCCCTACCACCTTGTGAATGTGCATATTTTCTTTTTCCAAATTTGTGTATCATGCATGTTTTTGATAATTTCATATTCCTTTATTTAGACAGGTTAATCCCATTGAGCCGCGAGGACTCATTTACAAGAGATCTGAAATATGTGTCTTTTCTCTGTATAATTAAAACATGCTATTGGATGCCTCAAACCCCCTCCCCCTCCCTTGGGATTAATAAAGTATCTATCCAAAAAAGTTCAAGACAATCACAACTGGAAGTTATTTGTAACAGAAGATGTTTCGCTTCTTATCTGAGACGCTTTCTGAGATGAGAAGCGAAACATCTTCTGTTACAAATAAAGTCCAGTTGTTTTTGTCTTGAACTTTTTTGAATTTACCATATCCTGGATGACTGAGAATGTTCACCAGCATTTCTATCTATCATTTCAAGTGTACCTACATCTTTGGGTATATATATTTCTAAAATACTGTACTCTTTTTTTCCCCACTATTGCTCTCTTTTTATAGGACTCCAAGTTTTTCCGAGTGCATCAGGTTCTTCCCGTGTCGACATTTACGGTGAAGGATCCGCAGGACTTGACCCTCTCGCTTCCTTTCCTCCAGTTCCTCAGTGCTCTGCCACTCGATTACAACTACGCTCTCTACAGGGAGATCTTCCAGCGCTTCGGTACACACTATTACAGTTCAGGAAAGCTGGGAGGCCACTATGACCTGCTGTACCAGTATAGCCGAGAGGAGCTCACCACCTCAGGTACAACAGCCCCCTCTGGTGTTTTAAAGTACGGAATTACACCCAAATCTACAAGCACAACCAAAAATGAAACAAAAAGTACAGCTGGAAAATTAGATCTTTTTAAAATTGAGGTGGAAAATATTTGAAGTTCTTTATGACTGAGTGGATTTTTCCTTCCGACAGGTCAAACAGAAGAACAGTTCAAAGGCTGCCTGAGCCAAGAGTCCGGCTTCACTGTCATCCTCTACACTCAGTACAGCAGCTCATCTCGATGCAAAAACAACAGGATGACAGAGAAATATCACGGTTACTATCGAAATATTACTGTATTTTGCTATATAAATTCTGGGCTATTTAATCCATTCATATATAAAATGTTCAGCTCATTCAAGAAACAAGTGCAGTTTTAGTTTTACTTTTATATATATATATTTCACTTTATTTACAAATAGTTTCCTCATAAATAACTTCCATCCATCCATTATCTTTACCTGCTTATTCCATTTTGGGTCACGGGGGTCGCTGGTGCCCATGTCCAGCAATCACTGTGCGAGGGGCGGGGTACACCCTGGACGGGTCGCAAGTCCATCACAGGGCCACATGGAGACAAATGAGACAAACAACCATTCACTCTCTCATTCACACCTAGGGACAATTTAGAGTTACCAATCAGCCTAACATGCATGTTTTTGGTCTGTGGGAGGAAACCGGAGTACCCGGAGAAAACCCACGCATGCACGGAGAGAACATGCAAACTCCACCCAGAAAGGCCCCTGGACCGGGGTTTGAACCAAGGACCTGCTTGCTGAGAGGCAGCAGCTCTACCAGTTGTGCCACCATGCTGCATCATTTTTAGACAAGATGTTTCTAATCTTAGTGATATTATGCAGGTGGAGGAAAGCATTTCTGGAAAAGGTTTTAATGTGGGGGTAAAAAAAAACATATCCTGATCAAAAATACTACAAAGGTTGTTTTTTTTTTCTCTTTAGAACTGGAGAACTGGAGATTAATGCCATCCAGAGAAAATTAAAGACTGCAAAAAAAAATTCTTAAAATGCTCAGGTCCAAAAACCACCAAATCTGTCTTGTCTGAGTTTAAAAGCAGAAAATTAAGACATTCCTGTAATCCCAGTATCATGTTCAAGCCTCTGTAGTAAAATATTGTGATCGACTCTATCAAATGAAGCACTTTTAACAAAACATTTGTTACGTTTACCTTTTAGCTACTCATTTTCTATTTTTAGTGACCATTCTACTAAACTTAGCAGGTTTTTTATTGCATCTAGCTAACCTTTTGCTATTTTCTTTACTTTTACTTTTCACTAAACTTGCTACTTTAAACTTTTAGCTAGTAATTTTATGCATTTAGCTTGTAGCTAGTCATTTGCTACTTTAGCTGTTCATTTCAAGTTCAAGTAAACTTTATTGTTATTATGATCTTATGTGGTGCATGAGATGGAACGAAATTATGTACACAGGGTCCTAGTTACACCCAAAAATAGCAAAATATAAAGTACAAAAAGAAAGAGTAGATAAGGATCTAAGATATAGACTAAAACAAACGCCGAATTGTACGCTAAAAGATCTAAGATATATGCTAAACACTAATAATGTAAAACAATATGGTGTAACAACAGCAGTCCGAACATGAGTCTGTGGTGAGCAGACAGGTATGAATAAATACAGCAGCATGAGATAATCCTGGTTAGAGATTCACGAGTCTAACAGCCTCAGGGTAGAAGCTGTTCCTCAGTCTAGTGGTTCTACACTTAATGCTCCTCAACCTCCTTCCTGAGGGGAGTGGGGCAGAAAGTGTGTGTGCTGGGTGAGTGGGGTCCTTCATGATGCAGGTGGCCCTCTTCCTACATCTGGAGGTGTAGATGTCTGTGATGGTGGGGAGACTGACTCCAACATCTTCTGTGCAGCCTTCACCACTCTCTGCAAAGCTTTTCTTTCTGCAGCTGTGCAGCCTCCATGCCACACATTGATGCTCGAGCACAGGATGCTCTCCACTGCACACCTGTAGGAGGAGGTGAGGACTGAGCTTAGCTTTCTTGATCAGGCTGGTGGTGTTGAAGCCCCAGTTGAGGTTATCATTCAGGTGTGCCCCCAAGTATTTGTAAGTGGAGACCACTTCCACCGCAGATCCTTCTATGTTTGGTAGTGGTGGTCGTGGTGGTCGTGGTGGTGGTGGGGGGGGGGGGGGGGGGGTTGCTCCATGTCCACAACCATCTCCTTTGTCTTCTTCACATTGATGTGAAGGTTGTACTTCCTGCACCAGTTCTCCAGGTGTTCCACCTCCTGCCTGTAGCTGGACTCATCATTGTTTGTGATGCATCCCACCACCACTGTATCATCTGGAAACTTTACAATATGACAGCCTGGATGGGTAGGTGTGCAGTCATATGTGAACAGAGTGAACAGGAGAGGGCTCAACACACAGCCTGAAGGGAGCCAGAGCTGAAGGTTATGGTGGAGGAGGAGAAGTTGTGGATCCTTACAAACTGTGGCCTGTTGCTTAAGAAATCCATGGCCCAGTTGCGTAGGGAGGGGCTTAGTCCTAGTGCGAGTAGTTTGTCCATAAGGGTCTGGGAAATCATGTTATTGAAGGCAGACATGAAGTCTACAAAGAGCATACAAACGTAGGAGTCCTTCTGCTCCAGTTGGGTGAGAGCATTGTGGACCATAGAGGAGATGGCATCTTCTGTCGATCGATTTTTCAAGTATGCATACAAGTGTGGGTCATCACTGATATCAACAATAGCATTGATGTGGGTCATGACCAGTCTTTCAAAGCATTTATTTGTATCAGGGTGAGGGCTACTGGCCGGTAGTCATTCAGATCAGTCATTGCAGAGCTCTTCGGAACTAGGATGATGGTTGTGGTCTTCAGGCAGGTGGGAACAGTTGCCAGGGTGAGACAGGAGTTAAAGATGTTGGCCAGCACCTCAACTGATCAGCACAGTCTTTCAGCACTCTCCCCAGGATGTTGTCAGGGCCAGTTGCTTTGTGAGGATTAATCCTCCTGAATGTCCTCTTTATGTTTGCTGAGGTCACGCTGAGGAACTCCTTTTACAGTGCTGGGTGGTCTGTTCAGATCTTCAAAGCTGGCATAGAACCTGTTGAGAGCATCAGGCAGTGATGGGTCCCTAGGGCAATGCGCACCCCTGCTTTTATAGTCTGTGATGTACTTAATGTCTTTCCACATGCTCCGTGGGGCCTGTGAGGAGAAATGTCCCTGGATCTTCCATGCATATGTTGCTTTGTCCCTCTTATAGCAGCCAGCTCTTTCCTTGTCCTCCCCTGTGGGTTGCCAGACCTGAATGCAGTGTCCCTGGCTTTCAGCAGGATACAGACCTCTGCGTTCAGCCAGGGTCTCTGGTTCAGGTATCACATCTGTTTCAATGTTGATGTGTTCATGCGTGCACATCTGCTCACAGACTCATGTTCATGTTTGTGCTGATGTTCAATGTTTTATGTTATGAGTGCTTAGTGTATATTTAGTTGATGTTTTTCTTAGTTCATATCTTAGATGGTATTACTGTTTTTCTTATACATTTTATTGTTGGATGTAACTGGGACCTTGTGTACATAATTTCGCTCCACCACATGTACCACATGAGGTGCGAATGACAATAAAGAAACTCTGACTCTGACTGACATCACAGTCCTAGTGGTGGTGACATCATCAACACACTTGCTGATGTATCCGAGGACAGTAGATGTGTATTCCTTCAGATCTAGCTCTCCCTCATTTAGAGCAGCCTCCCTGAAGATCTGCCCTGTCTGTACATGCAAAACAGTCCTGCAGTACAGAGTCGCTGTCACTGGGCCATACCGTGATGGTCCTCTGTGTTGGTCTGGAACGTCTCAGCAGGGGAGGTAGACAGGGGCCAGTAAATATGGAGATATGTTCAGAGAAACTAAGGTGGAGATGGGGGCGGCTTTGTATGTGTCACATATGTTGGTGTAAACATGGTCGAGTGTTATTTCCTCATGTTGGAATGTTCACATGCTGATAAAATCTTGGCGGAGTGTCTTTCAAGTTTGCTAGTTTTTGCAATTATTCTGCTACTTTTAGCTGGCCTTTTGCACCTTTTAACTTAGGTTCTGTTTCTTTTAGGTTTACCAACTCACTTCCAGCTTCTGTAACAAATTTATTGATATTTATTATTTTCACAGAAATTTTATTTAAAAAATATTTCATACATTTCTGCCTCCCGTCTTCTCTCGGCTCATTCTCTGACCATTTTTTGGCTCCAGGTTCGTACATCCAGTCAGCAGAGAAATCTTTCTCCATGGTTAAAGGAGGCCAAGCCAGAGAGGCTGCAGCTTTGGCCTTCGAGAGGCAGGGTCCTGCTCCGGACCGAACCTCTTACAAGAACTGGGCCAAGTCTGTACTTGAGAACCCTGCTGTGGTGGATTACAAGGTGAGGTCCAAAGCTTTGCACCTTCTGCTGAGTTCAAACTGTTTAAAGTGGTCGTGGTCGCTCAGTATTTTAGCTGCAGCAGACAGCAGGCAGTTGGATCTCAGTTTGGAGAACTGGGGAGGAGTTATCGCAGAAGATTCGAGCTAACAGCTAATCAAAAGAGGAACCCATCAATCAGGAGTTTCTTTCATCTATAAACAAACAAAAACATTTGTTCTACAACTTTAAACCAATATAACAAATGTTTTTAAATATGATCACTTCAGTAAACGTTGTTTACTTTAAAGCGAGGAACTCTTGTGTTCAGTTAGCGCTCAAAGTTCATGAAGAGAATGACTCTCAGCTACTACCTCACCAGATTTTGGCTCAATATTAATAAAACTGACTGAGTTGGAGCCATTTTTGTGTTGGCTAAGTTCAGTTAGTTGCAGCAGCCATCTTTAATCAGGTTAAATCCAAAAGGTAAAGGTTGTAGATTTAAATCTAATTATGATTTTACTAAAATTTATCCATTGGTTCAGGAGATATTTTGCTAAAAGACAGACATAAAAAATAGACATATGGAATTACTCTACATGGACACATTTCTTTTGTGCTGGCATACATACAGAGTTATAAATAAGATAATAGCATGTAATTTAAACTTCAAATAAAAGTAAATTAAAAAAAGCATAAAAGAAATGAAAAAAAAAATAATTTATGAGCAATGGTCCATATTTTCCCCGCTTCTTCTATTTTGGGTTGTGTGTGTGTGTGTGGGGGGGGGGGGGGTCACTGGTGCCCATATGCAGCAGTCACTGTGTGAGAGGCAAGGGACACCCTGGACAGGTCTCCAGTCCATCACAGGGACACATATGCCCCTTTTCCATTAGTACCTTTAGTACTGGTACAGCACGGTTTGACTCGGTTTGGTACGGTGCACGTTGTGTTTTCATTATACTTTCAGTACCGGTTCCAGTGGGCGGGGTTCAAATTGACATCACACACCTTCCCAGCTGGTGGTGGTAAGACCTTGAAACTGGTTTCAGTACACGGTTAGTGAAGTTTCTGGTAAATTAAAAAAATACAGATTATTAAAATTATTGAATTAAAAAATATATATATATTTATATATATATTTATAAATCCAGCTAATGAACTTTTAATGAACTTTAGTTCACCATTAAATCTCTGGTGAAGCAGATTCTACAAAAACATCTATATTTAAAATTTTTATACATTTTCTTCATCATTTGATGTATTTGCACTCATTGTGTCTACTTTTATTGTTCAATTTAGATATGTGGTTTTGTTTCTTGTTTACAGATATTTTTCTATTTTCAACTTTTCTCTAAAGTTTATTCTTGTTTTGTGATTTGTACTCCTGTGGGTTAGAATAAAGTTGAACTAAAGGCTGTATCTCTTCTTTAATCATGTTTTACAGAAATATTCCTGAGAGATCTAATAGTTTTGTGTCTTTTTATGATTTTTTTAGATGAGTTAACTTTAACAAATTATTTAATAGTCATTAAAGTGAAAACAGGATTTCATGATAAAGCCGGCACTATTTTTTATTTATTTTTAATCTTCACTGATAAAAAAAAAAAAAAATAGGGGGCGAGGTGGCACAGAGGTTATTTCAGTTTATTCAATTCAGTTTATTTATATAGCGCCAAATCACAGTAAAGTTGTCTCAGGGCACTTTACAGAAACATTCACATAAAAGCCAATTAGTAAAGTTCTCTATCTAAGGAATCCAGCAGACAAGTTGAATCTTGAATTTGTTGCAGTCTCCCATCCTGAGCAAGCACAGTGGCAACAGTGGAAAGAAAAAACTCCCTTTTAAAAGGAAGAAACCTCCAGCAGAACCAGGTTCAGGACAAGCGGCCATCTGCTTTGACCGGCTGGTTGAGAGGACAGGGAGGAGAGACAGACGAGCACAGAATGGTAGGTCCAGGTGTATCTGAAAGACAAAAAAATAAATAAATAAACACATGTTAAGGATAGAAAAAAAAATTACAAATACAAAACCGGTTGAGCAGAGTAAGTAAAGAAGTAGCAGAGTGAAAATTGTGGTCAGTTTGTCCTCCAGCAGTCTAAGCCTATAGCAGCATAACTAAGGAACAGCTCAGGAAACCCAAGCCGACCCTAACTATAGGATTTAGCAAAAAGGAAAGTCTTAAGCCTAGTTTTAAAACTGGATAATGTGTCAGCCTCACAGACAGAGATTGGAAGTTGGTTCCACAAGAGAGGAGCCTGATAACTGAAAGATCTGCCTCCCGTTCTGTTTTTGTAAATTCTAGGAACCACAAGTAAACTTGCAGCCTGAAAACGAAGTGCTCTGTTAGAAAAATATGTAACAATAAGATCTGTAATATAAGATGGAGCTAGGTTGTTGAGAGCTTTGTAGGTTAGAAGTAAGATTTTTAATTCTATTCTGGATTTGACAGGGAGCCAATGGAGAGAAGCTAAAACTGGAGAGATATGATCTCTCCCACTAACTCCAGTTAAGACTCTGGCAGCAGCATTTTGGATCAACTGAAGACGTTTTAAAGAAGTATTTGAACATCCAGTTAATAAACCATTGCAATAGTCCAGTCTAGACATGACAAATGCATGAACCAGTTTTTCTGCATCATTTTTAGACAAGATGTTTCTAATTTTAGTGATATTACGCAGGTGGAAGAAGGCAGTTCTACTAAAGTTTTTAATGTGGGGGATAAAAGACATGTCCTGATCAAAAATAACACCAAGATTTTTAACACTAGAACTGGAGGACAGATTAATGCCATCTAAGGAGGGCGAAAGACTGAAAAATTCATTCCTAAGGTGCTCAGGTCCAAAAACCAAAACCTCAGTCTTGTCTGTGTTCAACAGGAGAAAATTAAGGGTCATCCAGGTTTTTATGTCTTTAAGACATGCTTGTAGTCTAAGTAGCTGATTGGATTCATTGGGTTTAATGGACAATTATAATTGTGTGTCATCACCATAACAATGGAAATTTATCCCATGCTGTTTAAAAACTTTACCTAATGGAAGCATATATAAAGTAAAGAGTATTGGCCCAAGCACTGAGCCCTGAGGAACTCCATGACTAACTTTGGTGTATGAAGAAGATTTATTATTTACATTTACAAACTGGAATCTATCAGATAGATATGATTTAAACCATTTTAGAGCCGTTCCTGTAATTCCAACATCATATTCAAGCCTCTGTAGTAAAATATTGTGATCAACCGTATCAAATGCAGCACTGAGGTCTAACTGGACCAGTATAGACACAAGTCCATTGTCTGAGGCCATGAGAATATCATTAGTGACTTTTACTAGTGCTGTTTCTGTGCTATGATAAGCTCTAAACCCTGACTGAAACTCTTCAAACAGATAATTTATGTGTAGATGTTCACGCAACTGACCTGTAACTATTTTCTCTAGAATTTTTGAGATGAAAGTTAGATTAGATATAGGTCTATAGTTGGCCAGAATTTCTGAATCAAGGTCAGATTTTTTAAGTAAAGGTTTAATTACAGCAACCTTAAAGCGCTGTGGTACATAACCCTCCATTAAAGATAAATTAAGTAGATCCAAAATGTGGACATTAATTAGGGGAAATACCTCTTTAAACAGTCTGGTTGGGATGGGATCTAGCAGACATGTGGATGGTTTGGATGAAGTTATTATTTTTGACAATTCAGAGAACTCAACAGGACAAAAACTGTCCTAACATAAATCAGGCTCTAGTGAAATTTTTAAAGTTGCCTCATTTGACAGGGGACTAGAGATAGTAGAAGGAAGGATGGTTTGAATTTTCTCTCTAATTGAAATAATTTTATTTATAAAGAATCTCATGAAGTCATCACTACTTATAGTTGTAGGGATACATGGTTCAACAGAAATGGGACTTTTCATTAGTCTAGCAATAGTACTAAACAGAAACCTAGGGTTATTTTTATTCTCCTCTATTAAAGATGAGTAATATAAAGTTCTAGCATTACGGAGAGCTTTTTTATATGTTAGCAGACTAACATAAGACAGAAGGTGAGACAGAAGGTTAGAGAAGGTGGGCCTGTGATCGGAAGATCGCCGGTTCAAGCCCCGGTACCGATAATATCAAAAATGTGGGTGGGGTAGGTGAAGCACCCACACTTGCCCCCACCCTCATTCGTCCCACTCTAGGCCCTTGAGCAAGGCCCTTAACCCCCACCATCTACTTCTCCGGGTGCCCTAAATAGCAGCTCTCTCCTCCACACAGAGGGCTGTGGTTGTGTCAGGATGGACATCTGGCGTAAAAATAACTGGCAAGTCTTCGTGCGACATAGATCGCTGTGGCGACCCCTAAAGAAGGGAGCAGCCGAAAGAAGAAGAAAAAACTGATTAAATATATATATATACTGTATATATATTTTTTTAATACATAACGTGTTTTAAAAAATTGTTTCCACCTTCCGTCCCAGACCCGTCCTTGTCCACCCGTCTGCCAGGGGTCGGCCTTCATTAGCATGCGAGGCCAGGGCCCAGACCCTGTCGTTCTGTGAGTCAGCAGCTCGTATGATCGTCCATGGTGACCAGCAGAGCTCGGAGTCCGTAAAGCACGCAAGGCCGGGGCCCAGAGCCTGAACCCCGGGTCGGCTGCACAAAGGATCTTCCGCGGTGACCAGCGGAACTTGGAGCTGGGGAGATGACGCCCTGCCCGGCCTGTGGGGGCTCCAGTGGAGAGGACAAGAGAAAGTCGGGGACACGCGGAGCTCCATCTAGTTCGCTCTGAATTTTGTTGTCAGTCACCAAGCACAAAAAATGCCTGCACTTCAGCATTAGACCATGGTGTTGTCATTATTGTTTTTAAAATCTTTAAAATAGGTCCAGGAGCTCCTCAGAGTTGAGTTATTGCAAATGGCGGATTGAGTGTTGTGAAAAATTCTCAAACCTCTCTAGTGACTCCACCCCCTGACCAATCAGTGACCGACAGTGTTCTGACGTCATGTTTTGGTACCGGTTCGGCCCGGCTAGAACCCCAGAGACAAGGGCACTGAAAAAATGGACCAGTTCTACGTACCGTTACTAATAGAAAAGCCTTGGAACCGTGCCGAGCCAAGTCGAACCGTGCTGTCCCATTACTAATAGAAAAGGGGCCAAAGAGACCAACAGCCGTTCGCTCTCTCTCACACCTAGGGACAATTTAGAGTTACCAATCAGCCTAACATGCATGTTTTTTGTCTTTGGGAGGAAACTGGAGTACCCAAAGAAAACCCACGCATGCAAAGAGAGAACATGCAAACTCCACCCAGAAAGGTCCCCAGCCGAGATTTGAACTGGCAACCTTCTCGCTGAGAGGCAACAGCTCTGCTCTCTTCTCATTTGATGAGAATGACAAACAGAAATCTTGACCTACCAACTCAACTGAGCCACCATGCCGCCCATTAACAATGCTAAAATAATCAACTGAACAGGAGTTTAGAGGTCTTATTGTCTTCGGAATAAAGTTTTTGCTCATTTTGACTATTCAGTGAAGCCATTTTACAGGAACAAAAACTTTGTTTTGTTGAGAAATTTGTGGTATTAAACCAAAAGTTTGTGCCAAATTTTCTCAATTTTTAATAAAGTGTTTGTTCTAACATCTGTGAAAGTTTTGGATGGTTTTAACCTGAAAAGGGGCTCCTATTGGCTGTTAGCTTGACTCATTTGTGAGAATTTCTCCTTAAATTTCCTAACTGAGGTCACTCTGACAGCTCTCTGCTGCAGGTAATATACTGACTGGTCAAAGCAACTCCACCAAACCCTGCCATTCCTTAAAACCTACTTATTCTTCTGTGTTCAGCTACTTCCCATCATCGATTTGGTCCGGGGAATTCCCTGCGCCGTGACGAAGAGGAGACACCTGAGGAAGGCTCTGCTGCAGTACCTGGAGGAGTTTGACATCTGTAAGTGCGCCCCGTGTCCCAACAACGCCAGGCCCATTCTCTCTGGGACTGAGTGCAAGTGTGTCTGCCAGCCCGGTACCTTTGGTACCAACTGTGAGAAACGAGCTCCAGACTACACATCAGGTACGCTTCGTCTTCAGTTTCAGACCAGTGCAAAAAAAACAGTTCAGGTTGCTCAAAGTGGGGTTACATGGACTAACTATGGCCAGGCAGTATCTTACCTGCAACAGACAGTCAGTGGACATTTATGACCCTGACTCTTTCTAACAGAATTGTACAAACATTGCTAATAAACTATTAAAAGAGCATCACGGCAACATGAACCACCATGATTACTATTGTCATTATCACTTGCTTCCATGAAAGATGGATGATCATTTAAATGCCTGCATCTGTGTATTTGTTTCTGTCTTATAAACAAAATATCTTGTAAAACACTGGGAGTATAAAAAAAAAATTCGAACAAATTTAAAATATATTCACTCTTTGAGTCAACTAAAACCATAATGGCATGTTTATACGCCCGTCCAAAGGTGGACATATTATTCTACAGCCTCTGCCTACTTGTCCGTCCATCCGTCCATATGTCTGTTGTCCCACCTATACCTTCTTATCTACTCAAGATAATTAAACAAAACTTCATACACATATGCATCATCACTAGACAGAATGTTGCACACACATTTCATCATTAAGGTCAAGGTCACAAATCAAGGTCAAAGTTAAAACCAGATCTTTGCATGTCCAGACCATAATATCTGATCCACTCAAAATGATTTAAAGAAACTTGATACTTAGACATATCACCACTAGACAGCATGTCACCTCATCTCCAAGGTCAAGGTCACAAACTAAGGTCAAAGGTTATATCAGGTTGTTGCTTGTCCAGCCAGCACTATAGATATAATTGCTTGTCAACAGGTGTAAAATGTGCCGTATGCAGTACTCTTGTTGAGATTGGAGTCATTCTAAGACAACAGTATTCATTTTGATCTTATCCTTGTTTGGACTACCGTTAGCGCCTCAGTCCAGTGAAGTTAGCTTAAGTACGTGTTAAGTACGTGTTCATAAGCTTTCCACAAAACTCCACCTGAAAAGATCAGAACTACTGTATCCATCCATCCATCCATCCTTTATCTTCCGCTTATTCCGAAGTCGAGTCACGGGGGCAGCAGCTTGAGCAGGGAAGCTCAGATATCTATTTCCACAGCCACCTCTTCCAGCTCTTCTGGAAGGATTCCAAGTTGTTCCCAGGCCAACTGAGAGACGTATAGTCTCTCCAGTGTGTCCTGGGTCTTCCCCGGGGTCTTTTCCCAGTCGGATATGCCCGAAGCACTTCCCTCCAGCGTTTCTTAGGTCTTCCCCGGGGTCTCCTCCCAGTCGGACATGCCCAAAGCCCTTCCCTAGGGAGGCATCCAGGGGGCATCCTTACCAGATGCCCGAACCACCTCAACTGGCTTTTCCTTGAATCGCCACCTTATCGTGGTGGAGGAGTTTGTGCACCTAAATTATCCTAGGAGCTATGCTGTCGGGGGAAATTATAATGGTCCCTGGTAGGGTCTCCCAAGGCAAATTGGTCCTAGGTGACAGGCCAGACAAAGCGATTCAGAAGATTTTTATGGACATGACAAAGCAAGGAACTTGGTGTCCCTTGCCCGGACGTGGGTTACTGGGGCTTCACCATAGAGGCAGGCCTGGGGGAGAAGCTCATCGATGAGCACCTGGTGACCAGGTCTCTACCCATGGGGCCCCGTCGGGCTCAGCCCAAAGGATGGGTTTGCCTTTCTGTGGACCCCCCACCTGCAGGAAGGGCCAAAAAAGCCGGGTGCGGGATGCCATGGGCAGTGGCCAAAGGCAGGGACCTTGGCGCTCATACACTGGCTAACCAAAGTTGTCTCTTGGGACATGGAAAGAACTACTGTAGTCCCTTGTTTATCATGAGGGATCCGTATCTTGAAGCCCCGCAATAAGTGAAAAACCGTGAAGTAGGAATAGTAGTACAAGTAGTAAGTAGTAGTTTATATATATATATATATATATA